CCATTTCATGTCTGTCAAGGGGTTTACCATACATTTCTTTTACTATAGCAGTGTGATCTTATTCTAAAGCTTCATTTTCGTTTTGAGAAGATTTTAATTCATTTTCAATATATCATATTGCTTTTTCAAGATTTTCATACGTCTGGTTTTTTATTGACATCAAGCCATCAAAGTTATACTAGCTTCTTCCTCTTCATCTTTTTATGATTCATCTTCTTTGACAAGTTCATCCCATGTTGCCATGAGACTCTCCTTGAACTTATTTATGAAACTGTCCTTCTGATAGATTCCTTTCTTTGACTTGTCCTTTTGCAATACTAGATAGTCACCAATGAAGTGACCAAGCTTCTTGTAGTTGAATCATCCCTTCTGATCATCTTTTTTGTCTATTAACCTCGATCCTCTGAATCCACTACTTCTTCTTGAGAATAGATTGTTCTTCCTTGGCAGATATTGAAATCTTTTGATAATAAAGGTCATACTTGAGGAGCCTTGGCAAATTTAGCAACAAATTTTAAAGCAAGAGACTTTGACTTCTTGGCAGGTTCATCTCCATTGAGATTCATCTCATGGCTCTGGATGTTGCTTATAAGGCTTTGAATACTTAATGTGTTTAAGTCTTTGGCTTTCTGGATAGTTGTTATCTTATGCTTGTATCTGACAGAAAGACTCTTAAGAATCTTCTTGACATGATCAAATATTGTGTAGCTTTTGTTCTGAACATGAAGTCCAGACACTAGAATTTGAAACCTTGAGAACATGGTTTCAATATCTTTGTCTTCCTTCATTATGAAAATTTCATATTGTTGAAACAAGAGAGTATCATTTGCTTCCTTTACTTATTGATTACCTTTCATATGTAGCACACAAGGATTCAAAAATGGTTTTAACAGTAGATTTGCCAATAATCTTGATGTATTCAGAGTGAGGTAGAACATCTAGCAAAATGCCTTTGACTTTATGATGTTTCCTATAAATCTTTTTATGAGCAGGTATAAGAGTTTTTATGCCAGTTACCATTCATACTCCATTAACTGAAATATCAATGCCATCTTCAAGAATGTCCCACAACTCATCATCAAAACATATGATACGAATGTACATCTTCTTCCCCCACCATTCAAACTCTGCAGAAGTACTATAATCATGATGAATAATAGCATGTGGGTTAGGAGTACCACTATTAGACTCAGATACTCTATACACGATTTAATATGTTTTTCTCAGGATCTTTTCTGTACCACTGTTAAGTGTTTAACATAGACTATGTTTTGATGCCAACTGAAGGTGAGAAAAACACAATAAGGGGGTAAATTGTGTTAAGCTTTTTCTTTCTTTTTTAAAACTTTAGTTAGATTCTAAGCATACAATCTAGAACTGGAAACAATCAGAGGTGAGTTATAAGCAACAGGTAAGGAATGAAAGAAAGAAGGGGACACACAAAGTTATCCTGGTTCCTCTTACAAATCGAGAGTAGTCCAGTCCCCTTGTACTTACAAGAGATTTCACTATAATCACACAAGAAAGAGACTTCCAATGCTCAAACAGAAAGTAAAAGACTTTTATGCTCAAGCACATAAGTAATGGAGTTCAAATACTCAAGCACACAAGAAACATACTTATATGCTCAAACACACAAGTAAGAGACTTCAAATGCTCAAACACTAAGTAAAAGACTTCTAACAATCTACCTAGCAGATAAAAGACTGTTTGCAGTAATACATTTGATATACAATCAGAGGTGTAGACAAAATAAAATACAAGAAGACTTTTGAGACTTAGGGATTAATAAAATATACAAAGATAAGAAATCCTAAGTTAAACTTGTACTTATGTTTTGACAAAGTAACTTCTCTTTGAATGTCAATGGTTCGATTTTGTTTTTCAAGTCTTCAACTCCTTAAATAGAGAAGGAAAAAATTCGTTGGAGAGATTCACACGAAAGTATTTGAGAAGCTTAAATAGAGACGTTGAGATGTTTCTTCAAATAGTCAATGTTGTTGAAAAGCCATTTGAAACTCCCTTGCTTCAAAATGAATTATCAGATACATCCCAACTATCTATATGAAAAATAACTTAGGTGTTCATGTGATCAGCAGAAGACAAAATAGCCTCATAGTATGATAATGACTTATTATAGTCACCTTAGTCTTTGCGCTTTGACTGATTTTAGATTTTGATCTTCAGAAGCAGACTTCTTCAAATTCTGATATTCAGAGGCTGACTTCTTTAGAGTTTAATCTTTAGACGTTGATCTCTTTAGAGTCTGATATTCGTAAGTAGACTTCAGATCCTTCAGATTCTGATCTTAAAACTTTTCTTTAGATGTTCACTATCAGAACCAATACTTAGATTATTCCTGAAATTTTGGTCTATGGTCACGCACACTTGAACAAATATTAATATACCCATTTGTTATTTAAATACTTTGTTATCATCAAAACCTAAGAGATACGATACAAATCGATTTTGTTCCAACATCTTTTATTCTCCCTCATAATTTGCATTAGTTGTACTATTCCTTATAGAACTTAGCTTGAAGTGAATTTATTTCCAATCAATTAAAGTACTACTTCCATCTTCTAATACTTTGTCCATTATACATGTGTTATTTTTAGGACTATTAAAAAAACCGAGAACTTAACTGAACCGCCAAATCCAACCGAATTGAAGTTAAAATAAATGAACGATTATGTTTGGTTAGTAAACAAAACCATATCACACAAACAATTTTAGAACCAAATTATATAACAAATAAATCGAACTAAAACTGAAAATGAAAAATACTAAAAACAAGTTTTAATCATTTTTTTTTAAATTGAAAAATAAAATTTCAATTGTTTATCAAATGATTCGATTTGATTCAAGTGATTTTTTTTACTATGATTTGATTTAATTCAGTTCAATTTTCTGATAGAATTGTACCATGAACAACCACAGTTATTTTATCTGTGTTTTTGTTTTCCTCTTAGAGCTAGATAATAAAATTCTTCATTTTTACTATTGTTTGTTAAATGTAAAATTAATTTTGACCATTAAAAATATTTTAGGTTTGATCGCCATTAAGTGAATAAATTTACTCTTTTAATTTTTATTATTTATTTATGTTTAGAAAAAAATATGCATCAACAGTGTAAAATATTTTTACGTTGTCAATCAATTAGGGACTAGGGTTGGAAATGAGTCGAGTTGAGTTGAACTCACCTCAGCTCGACTCGACTCTTTAAGAATTGATTCAGCTTAAATCTCGGTTTGAGTTCGATACAAACTTTATTTTAAGCTCAAACTTGACTCGTTATAAGTTCACAGACAATTCGGTTTAACTCGTTAGGTTCAACTCACTTGTTTCACGAACTTAAAAACTACTTTTTAAGTCTATTTTTTAATATATTTGTTATTTTAAATTAATATTTTTATAAAAAAAATATTAAAATAAAATAAAATTTATCATATTGCAATATAACTTTGTCTAAAAAATCTACTAATTCAAAAACTACACAACTTTCAAAAATATAATTGAAAATCTAATTCAAAAAACTACACAACTTTCAAGAATACAATTGAAAATCTAATTAAAAAACTACTTAATTAGAGTTTAAATTTGTCTAAAAAATCCACAATTTCATTTAAATATTTAGGAACATTACTAATTTAATGAAATAGTAGATCAAAAAATATTAAAAATTGATACATTTCAATCACATGATAATTACACCACTTACCATATTTATTACACATGTTATTTTAGCAAATGTCAGTATGCCTCAAACAATGACTCTAAATGCAATTGTCAGCATTACTGCCATAACTAATACCAAAGAGATTATATATGGTTAAGATTTTAATTAAATCTTTAAACTTGTTGTTAAAGACAATATAATCATTCTCATATATAACCAGGTTGACTCATGAACCTAACGAATCGAACTATGTATAACTAAAGTTCAACTCATTTAATTAACAAATTTAGTTTTTCACTCATATTCAGCTCATCTGATTCATGAATCTAGTTCAACAATTTAGTTGTCGAACCGAATTCCGATTTATTTTTGAGTTGGTTCGGTTCATTGGCAGTCATAGACAATATATGGTTAAATTTTGAATGAAATACTAGTAAGATACTCGTGCTCCCGCACAGGTGAATTTATTTGATTTAGTATAAAATATATTCAAATGTATATTTAAATTTAAATTAAATTATTTTATCATAAAATGAATAATAATCCTAAAAATTTAATTATATTAGATAATCATATAAAAAAGTGATTCATGAGAAGATGGAGAAAGGAAAAAAAAACAAAATATGTTTTTTACTTTCTTTTAAGATTTAAAAAATTGATATTTTATTTAAATCAAAATTTTTAAAGAATTTATATACATGTTAAAAATTATGACATATGATTATACAATAAATTATTTAGAGTATAATATCAACAAATAACTTGCAGAATGTTTAGATATAGCGATGTAATGTTTTCTTAGAGAGAGATATAAGATACTCATGTTATTATTATCAAAATATGAAGTATCCACAAAGTATCCATTTGTTTCAACAATCAAATGTTTCAATCCTTATCAAACTTTAGAAAAAGAAAACATGAACTAACTATTACAACCCATATCAACCTAGGAGGTTGGAAAATAAGGTGACAGATTCACATTATTTGCAATATGTTGATAGAAAAATAAGGTGAGAGAACCATATTATTTGCAATATGTTGCAAGTGATCTATTAAGTCATGCCCTGCTTTTCTATCATAGATTCAATTCAATTTCCTTATTTGCATATCAACATCATATTCATCACCTTTAATGCAATTGAGTCCATGATTAAATAAATATGATCAAAAACTTTAATCTATAAAAACCTATTAAAAATTAATTAAAAAATATTGACTCTTTCAAGTAATTTCCTAGTATTATTTGAATAGATCAAAACAGTTAGCTAGTATTTTCTATGCTAGAAAATATGATGATCTCTTAGTATTCCCCATTTTCATTCACGGAAGCTCCAACATATACAATAGTGCCCTAAAACAGGCTGATGTTATACTTCTTCTATTAGAATGAGGCTCTAAAACAGGCTGCAAAACAGACAAATAATTAGAAAGTGCAATCCAGATCAACAATATTCAATATCATGGTCAAAGCAATTGTATATTCTCATTATCCATGTATGTACTCCTAACATCTTCAGTTGACCAAACCTCAAGACAGCGGGAAAAAAAGGGTCAATCTAGTACTATAAAGTTGTCGTCCTGACAGGTTATCGTCATAATATTTTATAATGATTATTTCTATAACCATGATATCATGGTTAGTAAGTATGCAAGTTTTAAAAGAAAACAAATATCATCAAACACTTTACTGGTGTTCGGCTTCCATCAAACATGTAAGAGGAAACATCTATGGTTGTAGCTCTTGTTGCTGATTGATCTCTTATGAATGGGTGCTCTAATAATTTTTGGGCTGTTGGGCGAGCTAATGGGTCCCGCTGTAAACATAAAATAACGAAATTCTTCACATCATTTGACAGATGCTCAGGAATTTCAGGCATATCTTTGTTGTTTCCAATTTTAAATATGGCAGCTACCTGTTAGTACAATATAAAAACAATTTTGGTCTTTCATACTCATCAAACAGGATCATACATTTAAGGGGCTAGATCTGAAATATCCAATATCTTACCCCTTCATACTGACTCCACGGAGGCTTCGACGCTGCCATTTCAATAAGTGTGCATCTCAAGCTCCATATATCAACCAAAATGCTATAGCCATTTGTGTTCATTACAACCTAAGAAAGACATTGGAATACAATGGTTATGGTGAGATAGAAGAAGAAGGGAGAATTTGCTTACATTGAAATAAATTTCATGATTCAAGAGAAAAAAATAAACTCACCTCAGGTGCCATCCAGTACGGACTTCCTTTGAATGAAAGCATTGTCTTTTCCAGTCACCCCTTACAACGGTGTTACAAACACAAGGGAGAGCTTTAACAATCAATAACATCTACCATATTATATACACATTGCAATTTGTTAGATGTCAACCTACTATTCCTGGATGTTGGAGTTCCCCTTCGTAAGAGCTTTAACAAAGTAATTGCGGATCTCTAGTATTGTGCGCTGAATCAAATCAGTGTGTCTGCAAACAGTTGGTGCAAACAGAATTTAGATATTTAAAAAACGCACAAACTAAAAGATAATTAAGAACTAATGCAACATTAATGTGAACTTTAGTTATCATTTGTGTTAGAACACAGATTGATGTTTCTTATATCTCTATGTTTTGATGATAACTCTTATGGAATTTTGTATTAAGAAAATATATACTCTAAAATTTGTTCAAGTATTATTGTTTCAGGTATTAAGTTGAATACTCTTAAAGAAGCAAAATACAAGTACAAGCAACTATGCAAGGCTCTGAAGCATCAGATGCAAGACAATCAGAAGACTCTGAAGCTCTGCCAGAAGAATCTGAAGCAGAAGCTGCAGAATGATCTGAAGCGTATCTGAAAGAATTATATGAAGAGTTGAAAGCTTTGATCAAATCAGACTCTGAAGTTCATTTTATTACAAGAACAAAGGCTCTGATAATCAGACTCTAATCAAATTAATATTCACACTCAAAGTACATATTGCTGCAAACTCTGATGAAGACTCTGATCAAGATTGAGACTCTGATATATCAAGTTCTGATCATCTATCAAGCTCTGATCATCTCAAATATTTAGCTCTGATCATCTTTAGCGTTTCATTCCTTTTAAGCTTATTACAAGTTCTGAAGTGCAGATTATGATGACTTCATCCTGAAGGAAGCTTGTTGAAGAAGCTGTAAACCTGATTGGACGTGGTGCTACTTCCAAAGTAACCAACAGCTATTTTGTCCAATGAAGAGACGTGGTGCAAATCCCAAAGCTTCTACAACCATACTTTTACTACAAAAAACATGTCTCTGCCCATACCTTTTGGTGATGAAAAATCTTATATTTCTAATATAATACTCAGCTGCACATTACTCAAAGTATTGGAAAAAGCTATAAAAGGAGAACTTCTACAACATTTAGAAGTTGCTAGTTCATTCAGAAAGAAATATTCATATACACGTTTGAAGCATCAAAGTGAAATCTCTCAAAACTCATACACTTTTGTTCTTTCATAAAACTGTATAGTTTTATTTGTACTTAATCTTAAGTATAAATATCACAGTTGTGATACAGCTTATTAGAAGCATTTAAACACTTGTTAGTTTACATTAATTTGTAAGAGGTTCCTTAAGAAGACCAAGGTGTGGTCAGTTGTTCTTGAGAAGACTAAGACAATTGTTCTTAGTGCTTACTATTGTAATCAGTTGATTAATAGTGGATTAAGTCCTTGTGGAGAAAGGCAACTCATATTTGATAAGGTGGACTAAAGTAGTTGAGTTCAACGAACCAGGATAAAAATCTTGAGTTGTTTTTATTGCCATATTTCTTAAAAACTCTTATTCAACCCCCCCCCCCCCCTTCTAAGTGTTTTTCTCACCTTCAGTTGGCATCAGAGCTCCGGTTCTGTTTGTGCTATCACTTAACCATGACCAGAAAAGATCCAGTGGGAAAAACTCTTGATATTCTTGGTTGATATACATTATGGCTGCTAAAACTTCAACATCGAGCAACAACAAATATGAAGAAAGAGTCAACACAAAACCTCCCATGTTTGATGGAGAGAAATTTGACTATTGGAAAGATAGACTAGAAAGTTTCTTTCTAGGATTTGATGTTGATCTTTGGGACTTAGTTATTGATGGATATGTTCATCCCACTGATGGGAATGGCAAGAAAATTGATAGAAAATCAATGACTGAGGCGCAAAAGAAGGAATTCAGAAATCACCACAAGGCTAGAACTATCTTGCTAAATGTTATATCTCGTACTGAGTATGAGAAAATAACCAATAGAGAAACTGCCTTTAATATATTTGAATCCCTGAAGATGACTCATGAAGGGAACTCTCAAGTTAAAGAAACCAAGGCTCTGACGCTGATCCAGAAGTATGAAGCTTTCAAAATGGAAGAATCTAAATCTATTGAAGCCATGTTTTCCAGATTCCAAATTCTCACTGCTGGCTTAAAGGTTTTGGACAAGGGTTACTCTACAGCAGATCATGTCAAGAAAATAATCAGAAGCTTGCCAATCAGATGGAGACTTATGGTCACTGCTCTGAAGCTGGCAAAGGATCTGAACAAGATTACGCTGGAGGAACTAATCAGTTCTCGGAGGAGTCATGAGATTGAACTAGAGGAAGATGAGCCTCTAAAGAAAGGTAAGTCAATTGCTTTAAAATCTAATAAATTTGTTAAAGCATTGCAGGTAATTGAAGAAAGCTCTGAAGAGTCCTCTTCTGAAGATGAAGGAGAATTATCCTTGTTGTCCAGAAGAATCAACAAACTCTGGAAGAATAAGCAAAGAAAGTTCAAGAACTTCAGGAAACCAGATCAACACAAAGAATCTTCTGGACACAGAAGATCTGGAGAACCCTCTGGATACAGAAGATCTGGAGAATCCTCTGGACACAGACGATCTGGAAAAAGAGAGGTTGTTTGTTATGAATACAAAGAACCTGGGCACTACAAGAGTGAATGCCCAAAGCTTCAGAAGGAGAAGCCAAAGAGAAAATCAGATCACAAAAAGAAAGTTCTAATGGCTACCTGGGATGACTCAGATGCATTTGATTCGTCATCAGAGTCAGAAGAAGAATGTGCTAATGTAGCATTCATGGCTGACATAGAAGACAGTGCTGAATCATCTGGATCAGAATCAAAATCTGATTCTGAGGAGGTATTTACTGAACTTTCTAGACAAGAACTTGTTGAAAGTCTATATGATATTCTTGAAAACTATATCAAAGTTAAACTTAAATACAAAAAGCTTCTAAAGCATATTGAATTTGAGAGTAACAAGTTTGAATCAGAAATAGCTGAGCTAAAAGCTGAAAATCTTCAACTGAAAAATAATTTAGAATCTGCTCAACTAAACTCCTATCCAAAGTCTGAACCATGCTCTAAAAATATTTTACAAGAGTATGACTATAACTTCTGGAAGTTTCTAACTAAAAGCCTAGATAGAAGCAAGATGACTTCAATGATCTATGGTATTAGCAGAAACTATAGAAAAGGTGTTGGATATAAATCTTTTTCTTATGAGGATTCAAATCCAAATTCTGTAGATAAACTAGATATCAAGTATCCTCCTTTATATTCTCAGTTTACATTTGGTCACTTAAATGATATTAAATACACAAGTTCTAATCAGAACAAACCTGTGTTTAATGAATCTAAAGCTAATCAGAACAAGTCTTATGTTAAAAGACAGAAGTTCAGAAAAAGCTTTAAGACAACTAACCAAAAAGGACCCAAGAAAATCTGGGTACCTAAGGATAAGATAATCTATGTTGCAGACATCCTTAGCAGCGAAGTCAAGACTCCAGTCATGGTACCTGGACTCTGGATGCTCACGACATATGACGGGAAAAAAGTCTATGTTCCAAAGTCTGGAGCTTAGATCTGGAGGAGACGTCAAGTTTGGAGGGAATCAGAAGGGCAAGATAATTGGCTCTGGAACCATTGGCAATGGTAAACTTCCTTCCATAACTAATGTCTTGCTTGTTGAAGGATTAACTCATAATCTATTGTCCACAAGTCAATTAAGTGACAATGGTTATGACATAATCTTTAATCAAAAGTGTTGCAAAGTTGTTAGTCAAAAGGATGGCTCAATCCTCTTTAATGGTAAAAGGAAAAACAACATTTATAAAATTAGTCTTTCAGAACTTAAGGTTCAGAATGTTAAATGCCTTGTGTCTGTTAATGATGAGCAATGGGTCTGGCACATAAGATTGGGTCATATTAATATGAGACGTATATCTCAGATTAATAAACTTAATCTGGTAAGAGGACTTCCTAATTTGAAGTTCAACTCAGATGCTCTTTGTGAAGCATGTCAGAAAGGAAAATTTTCAAAATCATCTTTCAAATCCAAAAATGTTGTTTCAACTTCAAAACCATTAGAGTTACTTCACATTGATCTGTTTGGACCAGTGAAAACTGCATCCATCAGAGGCAAGAAGTATGGGTTAGTCATTGTTGATGACTACAACAGCTGGACATGGGTAAAATTCCTAAAGCACAAGGATGAGTCACATTTTGTGTTCTTTGACTTCTGCAAACAAGTCCAAACTGAAAAAGATTTCAAAATTGTTAAAGTCAGAAGTGATCATGGTGGTGATTTGAAAACAAACATTTTGAAAAATATTTTAATGAAAATGACATTGCTCATGATTTCTCCTGTCCTAGAACTCCACAACAGAATGGAGTTATAGAGAGGAAAAATAGAACATTGCAAGAGATAGCCAGAACCATGATCAATGACACTAACATGGCAAAACATTTTTGGGCAGAAGCAATTAACACAACATGTTACATTCAAAACAGAGTGTCTGTTAGACCTCTTCTGGAAAAGTCTCCTTATGAATTGTGGAGGAATAGAAAGTCAAACATTTCTTATTTCCATCCTTTTGGATGTATATGTTTTATGCTAAACACTAAAGAGAAACTTAACAAGTTTGATTCTAAAGCACAAAAGTGTTTCATGCTTAGATATTCTGAACGCTCTAAAGGCTACAAAGTATACAATACTGAGACACAGATTGTGGAGGAATCTATACATGTTAGATTTGATGATAAGTTTGGCAATCAAAAGCCAAAGCAGCTTGAAAACTCTGCAGATAGAGAAGTTATTCACAGAATCTGAGAAACAAGATGTAGAGAAAGCTCAAGAAGAAGCTACGCCAGATGCAACTCCATTGGCTGATCAGATGAATAACATGAATATTTTTGAAGAACCAACATTTAAAGGATCATCCAAAATCAAATCTTCTCACCCAGAAGAAATGATTATTGGAA